TTAAAGTCTATATATATATATATATATATACTCTGTTTAATACTCATATTTTACATCAAATTTTAATAATTCAATCGTTGAATTTAAAGTTTTTAATACATATATAAACTCTGCAAATTTTCAAAAAAATTTAAAATTATTTAATATTTCATTTCATTAATTTAAATGGACAAATAATCATAAAAGTCTTGAATTCTAGCTTATTAGAAACAAAGGCAGAATGATGCAAAATTTTCACAAATAGCAAGTCCTCCATCTTTCCCTTCCACGTGTGATAATTTGCTTCATTCAAAGAAATTATCTTCACATGTACCTCCATCAAGCAAGCCAAATTCTCCTTAACTAAATAGCTCTAATGCCACTCTAATGGGAGAAAGGTCAACATAGTAATAACTCAATAAAAAGAACAATAACACAATGAAAATTAAAGTATACTACTTGTAAGGATCAACGAGAAGTACCAATAAAATAGAATAAAAATAAATAACTCAAATATACAAGAGACACAAATATTTTTAAAATTTAATTTAATAGTAAAAAAAACTATAAATTATAAAATATTATTGACCGGAATTTTGCATCATGGTTTTTCTATAATTTTTTTATAATTATTGACCAGAACTATAAATTTTATCAAAATTTATAATTTTTTTAATAAATTTTGGCCTACATAAAAAAAAGTGATAAAAAAAAATTACTGCCAGCATTTATCGTGATTGTGTACCATTTCATAAGGCAACTTGTTTAACTTTTTTACCTGGAAAGAAGCCACGGTACGTAGCAGATAATTTTGTCTCAAAGATTGTCTTCATTTCAAAATAAAAGAAAATAAAATTTGACGAAGTTTCATTTCAATTTTATGACCACTTGCTCTCTAATAATAATTTAAAAATGCTAGTAGTTAATGCTAAGACTAGATGCCTAAATATTTTGACAATTAGCCCTTAGCAGCACTCTAATGTGGAATTATTTTTTTTTGCAAATAATAACAAACTGTTTGTCATCTTAACTAATAATGTTAAACGATTAACGAAGTTAGATAAAAATATTCCATTCACGTACATGTTTTAAAACCCACGTAATTTGTAGAAGCAACCCATATTGTCAAATCCACCAAGGTCATCGCATACATTCAAATATTATATAATTTGATTATTTTGGCAAATCTAATCAGATTTAGAAAATATCAACATAATATAGTTTTGCTGTTTGGTTCCTTGTGGACAGGATGTCGGGCTCATTGCTTTTATTGTGAGCCTAAAACATCTGATTTTTTGCCACTTGCGCACTAGGTGAAGTTGGTGTCATTCTGTCATGCACGATATTCCCTACTCCCTACCGGACCACATAATTTCACAATTATCTTTCATTTTGGTAGAGAAACCCAGTTCCCATTTTCAAGATTTAATCACTCTATAATAACAAATTTTCAGTCAATGAAGGTCATAATGATGAATTGATGATCATATTGATTGAAATAGTTTTGATAAGTTTCGAATAAAGATGGATTAATTGTACTTAATCCTATGATTAATTTATTCTCCATTTAAATAACACCTGCCCGTAGCCCATATATGATGCAAATATATCCAGTTGCTAATGAAATTTTAAATTATTAGATGATCCTTTGTTTTCTTTAATCAATTATGTTGCTGTCTCATACAGCGTTGTTTAATTGTTTATTTATTTTATAATTGTCATCATATCATAAAAGTTAAAAAGAAAAAATAAAATGAATCTTTTATATGCTGTAAACTAGAAAATAATTATGAGGGCGGCGTTCCAACTGTCCTGCACTCTGACCAAATAAATTACTATCATATGGAATTGGCAATTGGATTTTTTTTTTTTTTTTACTTGTCTTTTGGTCAAACTACTTAGCTGTACTCGCTTTTGTTGCGATATTTTTAAATTCGTTCAACTCGTAGTTGGAAATTGTCTGATTATTGAATTGAACTAGTCTTTTGATTCATCAAGGAAAAAATTCATATACACAATTCAAAATAATTAATTTCCTCCGGAAATTGAAGAAATAAACAAATGAAAAAAAAAAAAAAAAAAACTCAAGCATGTGTTTCCATGCAAGGACCCTTACAATTGCACTTTCTTCTCTTTTCATCTTTTTTTGTCTCTTATTCGCTTGAAGGCTAGTACTAGTACGTGGCACACCATGTAACTCTAATAATTCACCAGAAAATATATATTTACAGTATGATGTATGTGTCTACTAACCCATGCTCCCTGCTCCTTCTGATGCAATGGATGTATCAGGTGATGAGTTTGATCCACTTCTTCTACCATTTTGGTGTGGATCATTCTCTGATTGTGAAATTGGTGACTTTGGCGATTTAAGTGGATGATGCCTATGACCATTATTGTGGCGATGATGACTTTTGTGATGGTGACCATTTTCCCTCCTCCTCTCCCTAGGTGCTTCACATTCATTTGCATTATTATCTTTATTGACCTCATCATGCTTATGGCCATTGTTGTGATGATGATTTCTCTTCCTCTCTTTAGGTGTTTCACTCTCTTGATCAGCTGGAACTGTGTAAACAAAGGGTCCAATTGGGACATCATGAAAGTCCTGAAGTGGGTCGAGAACATTAACCACTGTGGTCATCAAGGGTCTACTCCTTGGCCTGTGGCTGAGGCATTGATAAGCCAATGCAGCAGCTTTTTTTGCCCCTATCTCAGAGTACTGGCCCTCAAGTCTTGGATCCATTATTCTGCTGAGCTTTCGAGAATCATTCAAAACGGGCCGGGCCCATTCCACCAGGTTCTGCTCTCTTGCTGGCCTCCCTTTGTCCACTGACCTTCTTCCTGTTAGAAGCTCCAAAAGGACAACTCCAAAACTATACACATCACTCATTGCTGTCAAGTGTCCTATACATATGCAAAAACAAAAGTACATGTCACAATTGAGTTAGCAATCAATTTTACTCTAAGAATTAAAACTAAATTTTGACACATTTTGAAGCAGAAAAACAAATTTTACTGGATAGAAAAAACGCGGTTACCAACACAGATTAATCATCGCGGATTCCAATACTTAGGTTATAATAAAAAAGAAATAAATTTTATTATTTACCTGTCATAATGTATTCTGGGGCTGCATATCCTTGAGTGCCCATCACTCTAGTTGAAACGTGGGTGTCATCTCCCTCGGGACCATCTTTAGCCAAGCCAAAATCAGAAAGCTTTGCATTATAATCCTGGAAGAATAAATAAAGAGAGTGAGTTAATAATCGTTCAAATGGATCACTGGAGGATGCCAGTTGGCAGATCGAGAAAGTGATTGATTACTCACAGAGTCTAACAAGATGTTTGAAGCTTTGAAATCTCTATAGATGACTGGTTTCTTTGCTTCATGTAGAAAAGCCAGTCCCTTTGCAGCTCCAGCAGCAATTTTCATTCTTGTTGACCATGGTAACGATGCCGTAAATCCTGTAATCCAAAGTTTAGTACTCTTCCACACTATGCAAAATCAAACAACAGTAACAATAAGTGGTTGGTTGTGTATATACTTCTAAAAAGTTGATTCTCTAAGCTGCCTCGTGGTAAATATTCATACACCAAAAGCCTGTGCTCTTCTTCACAGCAATATCCAATCAACTTCACAAGGTGTGGATGCCTTAGTTGACCCAAAAACACAACTTCAGTCTGTGTCACATGTCAGAAGTCAGAACTCAGAATTAGCACTTATTGCGAAAAGGATTCTTAACCAAGGAAATCATCCGACACATTATTTGTACTAGTCTATGTTGTTCACAAAAGTTTCAAGGGTATGTATTAATTACCAAAAAGTATGACAGTAATATCATTTTTAAAAGGGTACTCACCAACCACTCTTTATGGCCCTGAGAACCGTCCAAGTCCAAGAGCTTGACGGCCACGGGTTGCGGCTCAAGACCAGGCCTAAGCTTGTCATCAATGAAGCCCTTGTGCACGGGCCCGAACCCCCCTTCACCGAGAAAGTTGCTTGAAGAGAAACTCTGCGTTATAATCTTGAGCTCCGCGAGTGAAAAAACATGGAGGTTAGATCCCACTAGAGAAACGGACAGATCCTCCGAAAGCGTTGAGCCAGGAAAACTCAAGTCCGTTATGGATACCCTGTTGGAAGAAGAACCACCTTTTGTAGCCACCACTTTGGTGGGCTTGGGAGAAGGTGACACAGACTCATCACCCTTGAAACAACTCGAGAAGATCGATCCCCATGCGATTTTCATGACACTTATCCTTGTGAATTAGCCACAATCTAATGACTCCTATGCTACAAAATAATGTTTCTTAAGCTAGGAAGAGAGATATAGATATACGTTTGAGGAAGGCTTGGAAGTAGATGGGAGTATATATATTAGGTGGGAACTAAGAAGAGAGATGGTGTGGTTTGCAGCTTCTTTTCTAGGCGTGTTGATTTTCCTCTGCTATCTTTTTGATTAGTCTTATAATGTATTGTCTTGGTTCTTTAATAATACTATATGGAATTTTTATACTTTGTTGAGATATATATAGAGAGAAAGGTGGTTGCGGTTTGGCGAGGGTGAAAAGCCCAAACATTTGAACGAGTTTAATTATTTTATTTGATAAATGGGAACCGAGTATCCCAAGTCTACGTTGGGTTAAAGGAAAATGACGCGGCTACCCCTCTTGACTTTCCAGCATTTGATGGTGATAAATTTTGAAAAGTAACTTTGAGGCATCTTCCAGAATGAAACGTCTTTTCGTTTTTCATCACCCGACACATCCCAGAAATAATTTCAGAACCACTAAAGTACTTTTGATTTAAGTTTTTATAGAAAAATTAAAAATACATCAATTGCATTTTAATTTCTTAATCTTTATACAAAACTTTTTAGATAGCAATTGCTAATTATCTTCAAACAAATGTAGATTGTAGTGTATTGCATCCTCTGCCACTTCCTTCTATTATTTTCTTCTCTTTCTTTTCTAGATTTAATTTTTGTTGACTTTTTCTCTTTATTTAAGGCAAGTTTTTGTTTGTTCACGTGCTATCTGGCTAAAACTTCAAAATGCAAACGAAACACATACATACAAAATAACAAGGAAATAAACTACATGCCCCAGTTGTTTAAGTATATATACAGAAAAAGGGGGTATTTATGTGCATTCCTAGTGATTAGTCAGAAAGCAATTCGAAAGAACACTGTGTGAATACATCGTTTGTTTCTTTTGTGTGTTGTCAGCGTTGATACTTCAGAATCTAGATTGATGAAAACAGAAAACTGTGTTGAATGTTGATGTCCTTGCAGCATTATAAGTACTTTAGTTAGCTTCTACACGGTGAATGTCAAATATTAAATAAATGGCAAAAGAATATTTAAACCAAACATACAAACAAAAAACAGCATCTAGATGAATTGGAGCGAAATTAATTATTTTTAACTTGATCAATAGTTTTTGTTGGTAATTACTTGTAATTATACTCTTACTGAGATGATAAATATCCTATCTATTAGGGGTAATTTTTATGATAATTAAAACTTTTTCTACACATTCATTTATTCATTCAGTGCAATAGTCTGACCACGTCAGTAGCGTGATTGCGTTAGCGTGGAAATCAAATTTATGGAATGAAGACATGAGATTAAAATTAAGTGAAATTAACTCATATATATATATATATATATAAAGATGAAGAAATAAACAAATGAAAAATTTATTATGAGAGGGTGAGAGGGTTAAAATATAACATTTAGATTAATTTTCTTTCACTTGATTAAATCCCAAATTTTCTCTCACTTGATTAATTTAAGGGTTATATTTTAACCATAAATTCCTCTCACTTGATATGCTCTCTCTATATATATATATAGGGAGCATATCAAGTAAGAGGGAATTTATTATGAGAGATGAGAGGGTTAAAATATAAGCCTTAGATTAATTTTCTCTCACTTGATTAAACTCCAATTTTCCTCTCACTTGATTAATCTAAGAGTTATATTTTAACCCTCTCACCTCTCATAATAAATTCCTTCTCACTTGATATGTTCCCTATATATATATATATATAATATAGATTTTTGACTAAAAATATAAAATAAAAAAAACATAAATTTTATTTTGTTTTATTTAATAGATATTTTAAATTAATTCTGAATTTCGATACAATATTTATTTTTTATATTTTTATTTCCTTACTTTTGTCTCCTTTTACTTATAGATATTTATATCATTTTAAATATACTTCACACTCCTTACTTTTTATTTTTCTCTTATTGGTATAAGTTACTTTTAATTCTATAAAACTTTACCAATTCATTTTTAGTCTAGTTTTTTATTAAATTAATCTCTTTAAAAGTGATATTTCCTGAGACTAATCCTTATTTACTAAAAAATACATGTGCGTGCAAAGCCGGTCCTTTTGAAAGTACAAAAAAAAATCAGCTTGAATATTTAACTTTAGAAAGATTAATTTAATAAAAAAAGATATTTTAGAAGATCAAAAGTTATTTTTTTTTAGAAAAACTACAAATAACTTTTACCCTTTATACAATTTCTCTTTTCATTTTCCGTCCTCTATTTTTCTTTCATATATCAAAACAAAATGTAAAGGACATATTATTAATCCTAGAATAAAAAAGTATATAACATGCTAACTTGAGTTTAGGGTTCATTGTGCAAGTTAATCCGTTAATCCTTGAGTTGTGAGTATGTTTATCTAATTAATATATTTAATCATGTGACACTAGGTTTTAAGACTTGTAATTTATTTTATTTAATTATATGTTTTCATTGATTGTTTTTTTGTATTGAGGAACTATGAAATTCAAGGATTTATTATAAGTTTTGAAGTAGTTAAGAATTTCTTTGAGTAGAAATATAATTTAGCTCTTAAGGGAAGGTGGTATATAAAGTTTCTGTTTATATAATTGAGTTTCATAAGTTTCATTTTTCAGGAACTTAAAGAGATGAGCTTTGATTTGTAAGTTCTCTTCTTCCTTAATAATTCTATTTGACGGTGATTTTTCCCCGAAAATTTCATTCTAAGTTGTGTTGTCTGTTGATTTGGGTCTATAGAACCTTGAATCAAGTTGTTGATTCGCTCGAAGTTGTTTTCTTTTTCTTCTTCTTCCTTCGCTCCTTCTACTTGACTTAGAGACTTTTGAGATAAGGAAAGTTAAATCCTTGAGTTTGTTGAATTGTTGGAGTTTTGGTGTGAAGTGATTTTTATGTTTTGAGATGTTAAATAACTGCACTTACATGGTGAAATTGCATGATTTTGATGGTTGCAGTTGAACTTAAGATTTTGGATTGATGAAGATGAATTTGATAGCTTATAGTGATTTTTACTTGCATGTTGAATTTCTTACTGAAAATGAGTTGCATTTTTGGTTTTGGTTGAGTTTTAGGTGGATTGAGCAAAATTTGTAATCTACATAAGAGTAAAACGCACATTGCACTAATTAGCGCACCTTCATGGCATTGGGTGCATTTCCAACCAGAGGCCTATGTCTCAATTTATGCCCAATGCAGGATTGGTGGCACTAGGTATGAAAGCATTGGAAGATCTTTGACTTGGTGACATCGAGTCCCTAATTGAGTGGCTTTTAGCGTGACCAAGCTAAAACATTTTGTCTAGACGATGACAGGTGCTACTATGGTAATGTCAAGCATGAGTTACGTGGAGACTTTCTGCCTGAAATGAGGTTAGGTGTAGGGTTTTGCAATGCCAGGTGTGAGGTCTTAGAGGCCTCTACTTTGCCCACACTAGACACAAGTTGTATAGCATCAGATGTAGATAAGGCAGGATGTTCCTTGCCTTGATGGCGTCGAGTGTTGGGTGAGTGGCGTTGAGCACTGGTTTTTGGATAAAAACTTGTTATTTAACTTCAAAAATGGTGAACATGAGTAAAGTAGAGTAATCTATTGAATATTTTAAGTTAATAAATGTTGTTCAAGCTATATACATTGATTTAGGATGATGTTTATAGATGATGAGTGGTTGAAAGTTGAGTTGAGTTGTATGTTGTTTAGTTAAGCAATTGTGTTGAATATGCTTGATGCATTATGTTGTATGTTGTTGAGATGGTGAAGTCGATAATTCTTAAGACGTGTTGAAAGTTGTGTTGATTGATTTAGAACTAGAGAAAAGGTTGTTTTAAAGGTTGCATATCTCATTGTGAGAATATTGTATTGTGGTGCTTCGAGAGTCCAATTTGTTGAAAACCTCTTCATAGAAAGTTGACCCTTAAAGAGGATAGTCAAGTCTCCTCTAAGACCTTAGTTAGTATCGTATATGGGTAAGATCTAGACATACATGTATAAAGTGATCATAAAATAAAGGTAAGGTTAGTTGTACTAATTATAAGTGACCAATTTGAGTAAAATACGAAGTCAGAGACTTAATGCCTAACTAAGTATCGAATCGACATAGTACATAGAAGGTAGTCAATGGCTTAATCTCATAAGTTAAGTTAACTAATGTCGTAATAGGTTCATACCTAAGTTCTTATATCTTGATAGAAATATTAGACTTTCTAATTTAAATGATAACATCCGACAAATCATGTAGTGTTGTGAATTTATATCCAAATTTCTTGTTAATCTAGCAAGCCCTAAGAGATAATCTCGTGTTATTGGTTCGATAATTTCACAGTGAAAATACATGACAACGCATTAGTTGATGGTTGCGCATATGCTATATTGATTTAGTTGTATTAATTGTTCATATAAAATGTTGATAATGTTGATTGTGTTGCAACGTGAAATGTTAACTAAATGTGAGATATGTTGATATACCTTGTTACTCACATTTCAATTGTATATGTTGATTTTTTTTAACTCTAGCTTATCCTTATTTGTTTACATGTGATTGAACTGTGGTGATCAAATTTTGTATGAAAGTGAAGTAGAGATATATTTGTGGAGGTGAGCATTGAAGGTTATTTAGCAGATGGTGGAATTGATGTCTTTTGGTGCTACTATTGTGTAGCTTTTATTTAGATGTTGTTTGACTTACAATAAAATAGGTTATATATTTGACATTTATTGTATTACTATACTTATATAGTATTATAATTGTATAATTGTTTTACATTTATATGCATGTCATGTAATACATATTTAGGTATTTGTAGATACATAATTTAAGTATTTAATCACTTTCTAATACTAATTGTTAAGTTATTTAGTGTAAGAACCATGATAAATTATTAGAAATTGAGAAATATTTATTAAAAAAAGATGGATATCCCTCAATTATTCAACTTAAGTTATGTTAATAAGTGCAAACAAAGTCACATAACATCACAAATTACAGAAACTTCAAATCGAAAAAGAATGATTACTTATTCAATATACGTCCAATTCTCAATAAATGAACCAGAAAATGTTTTTATGGAAAACAAAGGCAACACATGCAAGCTTCGAGTTTAGATTTTAAGAATTCTATACGAAAAAATAATAACGTTAAAAATTAATTTATATTTCAGAATAATATTTTCAAATGAAACTGAATAT